CAGAAACTTCGACTGACAAGCGGTGCGTGTGGGAACCATCGCCTTCGCACAACCGTCAGGCGGTTTGACATGTACCAACACATGGCTTGTTTCAAGTGCCAAGACAACTACAACTGCTTGTTTAGCAGAGAGCTTACGGGGTTTCCTGGCTCTCTTTCGCTTTACTCGAAAGGAACCTTAAACCAGCAATACGGCGTCGATCAGGGTAGCTTTAGAGTTGACGTCCGAAGCACCTTCATTTTGTGGTCGGTAGATGTTTGGACGGGTGACATAATGATTGATGCCACAAGTTGATCTCCAGTGTAACGATCAAATCTGCGTTGTTGGAGACCGGAACCGCCGTCATGAGCAGATCAATCTTAAGGCGAAGGTTTGCGAGCATCGAGAACGAACACTCTACATTTTGCAGCCGGGACGCAAATGATTCGTCTCTCCTACGAAAAGCCGCGCCGCATGGTCGGCGGCTGCAGCAATTGGCACAATCGTATGCAACTTTTAGCTAAAGGCCAGCGCTGCTTACTGCTAGGTACTCAGGTCGGTGCGAAGCTCTTGGTACCATCGGTTGCAGACATCGCACTTCAAACCGCCTGAATATTCAGTTACTAACATATCGCAGCTTGAAGTGCCACAACGTGCGATAGCCTTAGAATCCAAACCACCAGGAACAATAGCCCAGTTGTATTGCGAGACCGACATAGTGAAAAACAGAGTAACTCTATAACGTACACATTTGTTAACCGACCTCCATAAAAAGGCAAAAATTGAGTGAAAAACGGAATTAAAACAAGGAACAGCCAGAAAAATTACCAGTAAGCGCCAAAGACGCCGTGACCAGAAACGCTTTAGTCGATCCAAGATATCTTGGCGCAGAGGAAGTTAGCCAATAGTCAAAACCCGTCTAAAGTCCTTATTCAAACACTATTTTCCACAATAGTAATGCTAAAAAGCTCGAGCAGTAACGCACGCCACAATTTCGAGTTACCGCGTGGTACTCATTATGTTTGGTAGTTAACGTACTGTCTTTGAAGGAACTAGAGGCTGTCGCAACTTGGTAGTTGGCAACCGCTTCTTCAACGTCCTCCCAGCTTTTGTAGCGTTCGCAGACCCTGCGACGAAAACAGCATTGTCCTCCAACACGGCGCCTCATGCTCACTTGGACCTCCTCCAGCAAACGTCAGCTAAAACAGCAGACAAATCCCTACTAAAAAAGCATTTGAAATACCAGTACTCTGACTTATACTATACAACTAAAACCTTGTTGGTTACCTAAATAACCTACCAAATAGAGCACCCACATATATCATTGGAAATCAACTGGTAATCTCATTGGATTGTGGTAACGCTAGTCTCCGCCTGACACAGCCACTGTCCTTAGTCAGTCATTACCAACCACCTGGATCACCCTATCCTCCCCACCCCCCCTCCTATTCTCGCCCCTCCCAACCCACCCTTACCCCCCCTCACCACCCAGTCCTTTCCCCCCTCCTGGCGTCGATGCCGTGAGACGCTCACGCCACGCTGTATCGCCTGTACTAGGATCTTGAAAAACTAACCCGACCCACCAAAGGGCCGCCGGTCACCAGATATTATTGGAATAACCTACGCTCCGGCGGGGGGGGGGGAAACGGTCCTACCACGGCTTGACTCAACATGGAGCATCCCCCAAACACACACCACCCCCCCTCACCCCCTACCACCCCCACCACAAGTACTGTGATTATCACTCACTCCCCAACAACAACTGGCGCGTAAGTAAGGAAGCCTTGCCACAGAGGAGCAGATCCCCACACCCCCGCACAGAAATCCAATACGGTACTGATAAATGACAGTCGAAATATATTTTGTAAATTGGAAGGGGGCAAAATCTACCTCCTTCTCACCAGATGAGTAAGTCCTGGTACCCTTGCTTCTCTTCCCCCCTGCTTCTTTCTACCCCGGGACCGCTGCCTTCTTTCTCACATTGCATCTTAAGGTCTCTCCATTTTGCATCGCTTCTCTTTCTACTCTTTCTCTCTATCATTCACTCTTCTCTCTTTTCTTCCAATGAATATACGCCAATAGAACACATCCACCACTAAACAACCACATCCACTATACAAAATACCTAAAATTTTATTCCCGAATTATCAAAAACTCAAAACCTTCAATAACACAACAAGCCATCCAAACCAACCTTACCACACCCCCCCGACCTCCTGATTACGGTGCCCCATGTGGAATACCGCGGGCGTCATCGTAGCGGGATCGAGGGACGCCACATAGCCCGGCATCTACGGGCCTGAGGGGGAAGTGAACGGAGCAGACAAAGGACCCATTCCTTTTTTTTTTCCTATCTCCTTCTTCCTAAAGATATTCAAATAGTAACCAGATAGAGCACGTAAATCCCAATCTCCAAGATCATATGGTGGGAGCATAGTTAACAGCCATTAGGTGGTCAACCAACCAGTACCTGGGGTATTTCATATGCATTTTTTTTTAGTAGGGAAATTTGTCTAGCAGCTTTAGCTTGACGTTTGCCTAGGGAGCAAAAAGGAGAAGTAGGAATGAAAAAAAAAAACAAAAAAAAGTAGAAGAATCAAAAATAACAAAAGAAAAAAAAAAGCTTAAAAGGATTAAAAAAAACAAATAAAAGGAGAAAAAAAATGACCGAAAAAAAAAGTAGTAAAATAATCTAAGCGAAAAATAAAAAGACAGAGACACAAAGAAAAGAAAAGAAGAAAAGAAAAAGAAAAAAAAAAAAAAAAAAAAAAAGAAAAAGAAAAGAAAAAAGAAAAGAAATAAGACAAAACAAAAGCAAAAAAGCAAAGAAGGACAAAAAGAAAAACACAAGGACTGGCGAACACCCCACCATACCCATACAACCTGGCTTATGACGTCGTGCATGGTATAATTAATATCGGCGGGCATGCGCGCCGCAAAAGGGGGGTCTTGCGAAAACCATGGGGGGGCAGGTGGTGGGCCGGCACGCGGACGGGCGAAGGGCCCGTTGAACGCCGCGATGCCCACACTACCACTAGGCGACAGATCCTCTCCGTTCCTGTCACAAGACATCAGTACTGGCTTTTAACTACCTAAAAACAAATAAATGACGAACAAGCATGGACCACACGCGAGGGTACCTCAAAAGTTGTAGGGTCTGTGCGTTACTGCCTCGAGCTTTTTTTTAGTAATTTACATTGTGGAAAATTAAAAGTGCATTGAATAATGAGGACTATAGAGACGGGTTTTTGACTATTGCTAAACTCCTCTGCTCCAAGATAATCTTGGATCGACTAAAGCGATTTTCTGGTCACCCGGCGTCCTCTTTGGGCGGCATAAATACTGGTAATTTTTCTGGCAGTTCCTTGTTTTACTTCCGTTTTTTTCACTCAGTTGTTGCCATTTTTTTAATGGGAGTCGCGGGGGGGTTACACGACAAAAATGTGTCTACGGGGTTACTAGTGTTAACTCTCCTGCAGTTTCTTCACATAAAACCCCGCGCTAAAAACACATATCACTGCACATGGGGGGGGGTACGTCTTGGTTCTCGCAATAACACCTGGGCTTTTAAGATACCTGTGGTGGTTTGCACAATTTCATATATCAAAGGCTCGCACACGCCCAGATGTGGCAACTTCAAGCACAAGCTGCGCGAGATAATGATAGTACCCCTTAACCTATGAATAATCAGGTGGCTGAGGGAAAGCCCCGAGAGCGTTGCTTTCCGCCCAGGGGTACTTGCAACCCCCACACCGGCCAAACAACAATCCGATGACCCACCGCAGCCATACGCTGACAGCCCCACACCGACCTAGTACCGAGGCCGTAAGACGACAGCGCAGGCCCCCGTTTTATATAAATAAGGGGGTGGGTGGGGTGCGTGGCGCAGCCGTCCTAAAATATCCACCGGTGCTAACGTATAGGCCCCTGGGCCGATACAGCCGACCCCTCAGACTTCCCTGCCGGATACGGACCCAACCCCCCCACGCCCTCCAACACACCAGCACGACAACTCTCCACGCACACCAAGCGTCGAACAGGCTCGCCTCCCATCCCCACCACCATCGCCCCCCGTGCCTGGCCAGCCCTAGTTTCATCCGATTGTAGTCGATCCATGCCAAATATATGCAGCCAACAGCCGCCAGACACCATGTGCGGCGCGGCTTTTCGTAGTTGAGAGACGCAATCATTTGCGTCCCCCGGCTGCAAAATGTAGACGTTGTTCGTTGCTTGTCTCCGATGCAGCCCCTCGCAAACCTCTTCGCCTTAAGATTGATCTGCTTCATGAACGGCGGTTCCGGGTCTCCAACAACGCAGACAAAAAACATATTGATGCGTTACAACTGGAGATCAACTTGGTTGGCATCACTCAATCCCATATAAAATGTCACCAAGACGCCACCCCGTCCGCCACTGGATCCTACCTCGGAACACCCACAAAATGAAGGTGGCTCTTCGGGACGTCAACTCTAAACCAATCTCTGAAAACCTTCTAAGCAAAAGCATAAAAAACCACTACCCTGATCGACGCCGTATTGCTGGTTCAAGGGTTCCTTTTCGAGTAAAGCGAAAAGAGAGAACGAGCTCCGGTCACGCGTCCAGGGGCAGCTCACCGGCAGATAGCCTGAGCGCGGCTTGCACTCCTGACCCACACAAAAAACACAACAACCACTGCTGCCCCCCGATACTAGGCACCAGGAAAAACCCCCGTAGAGTAACCCTCAACTCCTCTCTGCTAATTTAAAAAAAACGAAGCAGTTGTATATGTCTTGGCACTTAAACAAGCCATAAGGTGTCTGGGGGGTTAACTTGTCAAAACGTGATTTACGTCTTTAGAAACCACGAGACTTCACTGCTGAACATGCCGATCGTCTTAAAAAAAACGAAGTCAGGTCCTATTTCTTGCCCGGAGGTATAGCAGGGTGCGACCCAGTATAGCGACTAGTTTTTTTTCTCCCGTCTTCGCACCGGCACCGCTTCGCTACTATGATGCCCGTACTTTACGAACAACAAGCCCGCTAATGCCCTCCCCCCTTCGTTTCGACTTCATTCACCACATTCTCCATCGTTTCGTTGAGGGAGCTATATCCGCCACACAAGCAAGCCCCCTCAAACGCAAGCGAACCTCGCTAGATGGTCCTCTCCCCTCACGTGACGTCACCCATACTGCACTTCCCCATCCACCACCTCTAGCCACCATGACCTACGCCACACAGCTAGGCGCCTCGTCACAAACACAACAATCCCACAGCCACCCCCCCCAACGCACCTACGACGCAGCGGCCCGAGCGCGCCAACCACACACCGGGGACCCCGAGTCTACGCAGCCTCTCTAGCCACAACCGAAGGATCACCCCGAAGACGCAACCGGCCCCGGGCACACCGGGCGTACAAATGGGGGCAGGCCAGGCCGCACTCCCGACCGGACCCACCCGAGGCCGACCAACCGTATGTCGGCGAGGGAAAAAGGCGAACAACGCCTAAACTCATCTGGCCTTCATGGCTTGACTCTCTCTCAAAATCGAAACAACAACAGAACCCGGCTTCAACCGGACGGCGCACGCCCCGTCTAAACCCGTCGCCTGGGGCCGCCGATCCCCCGCAAAGAGACCCCGAACCTTATCAAGAAGAAACAACGAAGCCAGACCCTGAGCCATGTAGGTAAATATTTTTTTCGGGTGCCTCCATCGGGTGGATACAACCATGGAATGACCTAGGAAATAAGTAAGTCCTCGACATTTGGAGCGAAAAACATACCCCCCAGCCTTTGCCTACATCATCTAAGGGGGCAAAAAAAGATTATACAAGTCCCCAGATCAACAACACACCACAAAACCCCATGGTGAAGCCACTCCACCCAAGCTGCTCTAGCACTACCCGAAAAGCCCAGGCCTCGTGGGGTTTAACAAAAACATAAAAAAAACACCTGTCCACTGACGTGTTTGCTATGCTTCCCCCCCCGCCCGAACACGTAGAGCAGGCGTTAAATAAAGAAAAATAAAAAATTTCCACCTCGCCGTTAGATTGCAACGCGTCGGCTGGGTGCCATCCCGCTGTCCTATCCCCTGAGTCGCGTGTTTGACGACAGTTTAATGTTTTAAAAAAATTAAAAAAAACTGTGCATAAAAGAAGCTTCCTCACAGCCTGGGTTAATATCTTAAAAAAATCCCGCCCAGAGGCGCGCTTTTACTTTAGCCAAAAAAGGTTCCTCAGCATAAAAGGGCTTCGGAAAAACGGAGTATGTCCCACTTGTTTCATTTTAAAATTAATCTATATATATTTTTTATTATTTATATTAAAATATTTTTAATTATTATTAATCCTTTAAATTTCCTTTAAAAAACAATAAAAATTACACAATCAATTTTTTTAAAAACACTAAATTTAACATACTAGCCCGATAAAAAAAAAAAAAAAAAAAAGAAAAAAAAAAAAGAAATCCAGAATAAGCTCACCACAGAAAGCGGTGCGCTCGGCGACTCACATCGCTGCGCCGTCGAACCCCCCATGCGTGGCCCCTGCTACGATGGGGGGGGGGGGGGGGGGGGTAATGGCTACCTTAAGGGGGCTGGTGGGGCTGGTGCTACGTCTACACCCTGGTGTGGTCGCTTTGGTTCTTTGAGTGCGAGCTAGGGGAGCAATGGCTATAACAGGACACCACACTGAGACGGGAGGGTGCGCCCAGCAGCGTATCCCAGGAGGGCTGAGCGCACCCGGTGGGGGTCTGTTCTACTTCAAAGGGGGGGGTCAATTAACATCGGCACGAGCTACGGTACCCCCGGCCAAGAGTCAGGGGGGGGACGCGTCCACAGGCTTTACGTAACATACCCCAATAAGCCCCACAACTTCATCGGTCATTTATCGTTCAACTGAACCCTACCCCCCTCTACATGTTACGCCCCGGTCTGCATAACCATAAATTATTCATTCTACAACCCCTTCGGGGGGGTGGGGATCAGTCATAAAAAAACACGCTATGAATGCGGGCTCATACGTCAATATAACTCCAACATTACCCCAATACCAGCGGTTTGAGGAGGACTACCCAAGCGGTTTCAAAATGAAATGTGGTTACCCAGTTTTACCTCTCTAATGTTTGCTTACTGTGTCACTCTTGAAGCCTGTATGGGCGGGGGGGCCTTTTAGCCTACCCCCCCTCCCGTGCAGGAACTCAAGTGGCCATGCGCGCTGTAGGGGGGCCTAAATGAGCTTGCCCCTCTATGTCGCCGAACCTAACACACACACACGCCACCCACACACCCCCTTCACGCCACGCCTCACACCCAGCCAGCGGGGGGGTGAAATGGGGGGCAGCGCTCAGAAGAACTACTCCTTCACTCTTCAGCACAAAATGGGGGGAGCTTTTTGTTTATTGGGGGGTGTTTTGGGGGGGGGGGTTCCTGGGGTGTATTTTTTTTTTTTTTTTTTTTTTTTTTTTTTTTTATTTTTCTTTTGTTATAGATTTTTTTTAATTTACTTAAAATAAAAGGAGACATGCAACATGCACGTGCATTCTGATCCTCCTTTGCTTACCGCTCATTGTCAGGGGGAGGGGGGTGTCAGCTGAGTTGCGGGACGTCGCGGGGGGGGGTGGGGGGGGGGCTCCCAGCCCGGCCGGCGCGCAGCCTCCCAAACCAAAATAAGCAACAAAGGTTCAGCACACAGCCAACCGAGGGGTGGGCTATCCATACCACGTACCGCCTTCCCTGGTCATTACTCTCCCGCGCGCACGGCCGTCACACACAACGGGCGGGCACGCGGCAGCGCCTCACCCAAATTACCTTATAACCAACAGGCCCTGGGACCGAGAAGTGCGAGGGCGTCAGCCAGCTACTAGTAAGTGGTACATGCGCCGTAATGTCCCACCGTAAACCCGGCGCCGTTCCCCCTCAACACCCGCCCCACCACCCCCCGCCCCACCCCCCCACCACACCACCACCCCACACCCCGAACCCCCCACACACCCCCCATCAACACACTGCCGCGCACACGAAACACCCGAGCACTCACGAACAAAAGAAAATCAAACTAACGGCCACTTGCCGCCAGAGCGTTGCCCCGGGCGGACCACAACCATACTCAATTCACCAAAAACAAAAAACACCCCCTAACACCCCCCCGACGGTGGGGACTGGCACGTCTAAGGGGGGCCCATATTCGGAATATAAAGGGGAGGCTCACATAATAGACCACAATACACCGACGAACACGCGTCTTCCGGTAAGAGGGATATTACCGTGATGGTCCTATTGCCCGCGGTATACTTTTCAGTTTCCCCACCAACACCACCAACTGTCCCCTATCTGTGGAGCGTACGCGAGCGAACCCAAGGGGAATTCCCCGGCCGCCGCGACCGGCGCGCGTCCCCGCGCGGCCGCTCGCGCGCGGCCGAAACCTTAAGAGACGACTAATTACTACTCCCATGGTAGAGCTAAAGCAATTTGCGTCAGCCGAAAGATAAGGGTATACCTTTTTGACCCCACTATTGTATGTGTGTGACCCCTCTCAAAAAGCTCGGGTTCACTGAAAAGTGGTATGTCCCCCTCCATGACATATCACAGCAGATGGTGAAGTACGTCTAGGCTGGCTACGGCACTCCTATTTAGATATGTGATTGCTTCATTAGGGGGGCTAAAGCAATGCTAGGGGGGTGCTTAGCGTTGGGGGGATTTAGGCTGGAGTCTTGGAAAAAATCCCCCCCCCAACGGAGAAGGAAAACAAAAAAGCAAAACTAAAAAAAAAAAAAAAAAAGAAAACTCATCATAAAAAAAGAAATTAAAAAAAAAAAACATAAAAAGGATAGAAAAAAAAAGCCAAATCTAAAAAAAAAAAAAAACACCCCCCCACTACGCGCCACCTAAGCAGACACCCGCCCCCCCCCCCCCACTCAACCCACGCCCTACCCCCCCCCCCCCCGCCCGGCCGACCCCCCCTCCCCCTCCTACCCCCCCCCTCCGCCCCCAACATATCCGCATGCCGGCCTTGTCGTCCAAAAATTGCGTGTGCTATTAAAAGACGCAGTCACTAAGTCCCCCGTGTAAGATTCCGCCAATCAATCAAACCTGGCTCATTCCTCAGCCCACCCGGATGAAGGCTCAAACGCAGATATAAAGACACATTCCCGCTCAGCACTACCAGTTTAATCCAACAAAAAACCATATCATTGTGAATCACAGACCGGTGCGCGTAATCCCCACCCAGAGGGGTACAAAATGAACTTCCTTCGCACCCCCCATCCGTCCCGCAAAAAACGTGTTTCAGCAGGTTGACAACAAAAACACTGCCGTAGGATACTGGTCAATGACATCATTCTTCATACGATCAGCGTATCGTTTTAATATTTCATGCCACAGCGTTTTTTCGTTTCTATATATTCAAACCGCGTAATAAATATAATTAAATAAATAGTAACACAATTTACCATACCGCCAATTATAATTTGCGAAACCCCCCCCCCCCCCCCCCTCCCCCCTCCTGCCCGCCCCTTCCCCACGTGTGAGACAAAAAACACCTCCCCGCTCTTTCGACGCTCCACTCCGTCTCGCTCCTCCTAACCCACCTCACCCTTCCCCCCACTGCCCTCGTCGAAAACCCTCCCCCTAACCCCCTTGGGCTCCCCCCCCCCCAATACCAAAATATAAACGAAAAAAACAAAACAGCTATCCCAATTAAATATCAGAAGTAATACCAAATTAAATAATCCCACGAAAATTGCGAACGTCCCCTCTCCCGTCTCTCTCCCGACTCTCGCCTGTCCCTTCCTATATAAGATATTAAAAATAAAATTCGACGGACCCCCGACCGTGCACCAATCATCCTGTGATCCCTATATCAAGAAGAAAACACTTCTCCTATCCCCCCCCCCCCCCCCCCCCCCCCCCCCCCCCCCCCCCCCCCCCCCACCCCCCCCCCCCCCCCCTCCCCCCCCCCCCCCCCCCCCCCCCCCCCCCCCCCCCCCCCCCCCCCCCCCCCCCCCCCCCACACCCCCCCCCCCTCCCCCCCCCCCCCCCCCCCCCCCCCCCCCCCCCCCCCCCCCCCCCCCCCCCCCCCCCCCCCCCCCCCCCCCCCCCCCCCCCCCCCCCCCCCCCCCCCCCCCCCCCCCCACCCCCCCCCCCCCCCCCCCCCCCCCCCCCCCCCCCCCCCCCCCCCCCCCCCCCCCCACCCCCCCCCCCCCCCCCCCCCCCCCCACCCCCCCCCCCCCCCCCCCCCCCCACCCCCCCCCCCCCCCCCCCCACCCCCCCCCCCCCCCCCCCCCCACCCACCCCCCCCCCCTCACCCTCCCCCCCCCCCCCCCCCCCCCCCCCCCCCCCCCCCCCCCCCCCCCCCCCCCTGCCCAAAAACTAAGCCCATACGAAAACTACAGTAAAAAAAAAAAAAAAAAAATAGCTAAAATACACTGCCCAAAAAAAAACCCCCGAGACCCGCTCCCAAAATATAAAAAAAAACTGACTATAAAAAACCCCCCTAAGATATAACAAAAAAAATTAAATTCAGTATAACTCAATAGCCCCTAACCCCTCCGAACAGCCGGAAATCCAAATAAACTAAAATGGAATACAACCTTAAAAAGTTTAAAAAATCTTATTATTAAATTCTAACCACCCAAACTAAAAATACTCCGTTACAAAGAACTAATATTCCCCCCCGACGCATGCACCGTCCGACCAAAAATACTTTACATAATCTTTATAGTTACCGCAGTCGCGATCCACGCTCCAAAGGCGTCCCTTTCGGTGATCACATCGAGTTCACTCATTCGTTTTTACTTTGTTTCATTGATTCATCCACATTCGGCCAGACAGCTGTTTAGATGCTTACGGCGCTCCAAGTGCCGTTTGCAGCAAGTTCATAGACCACATCCCACAAGGTACATGGACGCCCAAGTTACCGTCTATTTAGGACCTTGTCTAGTCATAAAGTCACTCGATCATGGTTATGGTGGATCATTAACATACGGACTAACAACTGAGTTCCAGTGATACATGTTTGGCTTTGCTCATACTGTCAAGTAACGTGGGCTAAGCAAATAACTGTTAACATCCCCCCCCCACCCTCCCCCCCCCCCCCCCGAACATAGGCAACGCAGACTCACACCCTCCATAGCGACTTCCCAAGCTTCGGTAGAACCCATAGCGGGTAATTACCAGCGTCAGACATACTTTACCAAGTTGCCTGGTGATAAATGTAAGACCTACCTCACCAGATATCTTCTACTTTCCCTTAACCCAGTCACAAGGAGAACGCAGACAATAACCACATTCCTCCCTGTATAGGTTTGGCTAGCCTGCCTCTGCTCATAAAGCGGGTTCCTAAATGTTGGCAGGACTAAATGCGCAGCTACGTGCGACCCCCGCGATACTTACAGGAGGTTTACCCTTAAGGCCCGCCACACTCTTGAAGCTGCACTAATACCCCCGAAACTGCTTCTCGGATCACATATCCAGAGGGGGTAAGAAGACCTCAGGCCCAAGCTTATAACGCGCCTACCAAAGGAGCTTCCTTTCCTACTCGCCAATGTCTAAATGGCGCTGCGGTACGAGAGTGACAATGCTAGTATTGATAGCGTATGACAGTGGTACGCAACGCGCTTACGGAGTAAAGACACGGCGGCGAGCATAATTTGGGCCATACGCAGCATGCGTATTTTATGAACGGGAACCCCACAATACAACAAAAAAAACAAAAAGGCTTTGCTCATGGTTTGCAGAACCTAAAGCATCCCGGACACACTGAATTTTATAGAATGCGGCGCTGGCCCGTTAGGGAATGGCCGGCCACAAGCGCTGAAACCCAACTAAATGTCAGGGGGGGCCTGAATCTCTAAGTCCATACCTTGGCAATGACATATGGGCTGCGGAAGTAAGTGGCGCCGCTCATTATGGTGATTTATAAGAGACTCTTTGCTTCGACAGCTGTGTAGTTGAAGAGACCGACTGGACTTAGACCTCGAACGCAGTTTTGTATGGCTCGAGCCAAGTTGGTGGCTATTAAAAAGATATACGTGGTGGTACTTCAACAATCATGGGTCCCAAGCGTTAAAACGCCCAAGACTGGCAAGTGGGGTCCAAGAAAATCCTAGATGAGGGGCAAGAAATTGCTGGGTCGCCAGTTGACGAGTGGACAGGTTTCATGAACGCCCCACGATGAGGTTGCCGCAGTAGCTGCTTTAACCGCAGGAAGCTAATACGAGAACCCACGTCCGGTTATGGATAACAAAATCTCCTTAAAGGCTGTAGAGAAAGAGCTTTGACAGCCATAGACGGCGTCCGGGGTTATATATACGAAAATAAGGCAGAAAAGGCGGGTAGAAGGACGCTAACCTATCGAGGCTTTATGTGTAAGGTGTTATCTAAGGACCATTGCTGTAGTCTGCAGTAAGATGAAGATCGGCGGTGGATCCTAACGGATGACAGAACAATCAGCAAACATAAACGGTAGTAGTTTACCGACCACGGAAGAACTAGCAAGCCGAGGTCGTTGTCCAGTTAAGCGGAACGATGGAGGTTCCCTAACTTTTTTATTACTGTAAAAATACCTAATTCCAAGAATGATAAACGTCGTTAGATGAAAAGACGTACTGCTTTTTTGTATGCCTTAATTTCAAGGGGGCCGTAGGAACGTCGTAGTTTGTGAGAGCGGGTAACTCTAAAGGTCGTGAAAATAAAGATAACAATACTCATCTGCAAGAACAACGCAACAAAAACGAGGGTCGGTGGGGGGGGTGCCAGGGGGTGGGAGGGCAGGCGGTCGCGTAGCGCTCTCATTTTCCTTCTTATCCCCCGCCCCCCTAAAAACCCTCTCCCGGCTCCTTCTCCTCGTCCTTGTCCTAGGGGGGGCCCTGAGGGGGCACGAACCCAGCCCCCAAAGGTTGGTTTTTTTTTTTTTTTTTTTTTGTTCCACCCAGGTGGTTAAAAAACAAAATAAATGTTATCCAGAAAAAACGTCTACCAAGTACCCCCAAACCAGGGGCCGAAAAGACTCCATCCAAACCACGCGAAGATTCGAAGTGGAGCGTTCTTCATTCCTCCTACCTCCCAACCAATCATAATTACCAGGCAAACAAAAACCCACCCCGTTATTTCCTTCTATACATTACACACGAGCGCAACAAAGCACCCACTTATTGCTTGCACTCCCATCCGTGCTCCGGCCGTTGTTGGGTTGCGCATGTGGCGTTGTACGACGGTGCCCGCCATCGGGGGAGCAGAGATGGTGGGGGTGGTGGGGGTGAACCCCCCCCACCCCCCCCCCCCCCCCCCCACGGTAGCCACGGACTGCAGCGGCTCCATAAACTAACCGGAGGACCTGCAAAGGGACCCAGTGCCCATGTGGCGATACTCTATACCACATAAGAAGTTAGCCTGCTAACTAGAAAAGGTCTGGGTTGCGTGTGTGCACATGGGAGAGGACCAGAGCATATGCTATCGCCACTCCGTGTGGTGTTCACTCATGATGAGCCCAACCTCGGGCGTAAAATTAAGAGAGGGGCGATTTTTCATAAGCAAGACACAAATATAAAACCATGATAAAGCTCATGCCGA